CCCACCCTTGGGCCGAGTGCCTTCTTGCTGGGTCTCAGGGAGCCCTCTCCAGCTGTAAGCCCCTCTGTCCTGCCCCCTCAACCCCCCCTTAGAATGTCCTGCCCCGGAGCGATCAGCAAGGACAGCGCCTTGTGGTCGTATGGCCTTCCACACCCAGGGCTCTGCCTCCAAGGCCTCGGGGTACACCTCCAGGGGCGCCATTCACACAGCTAACTTGGGGGGGGGGGGGGGCGCCAAGCACCGGCAGCGGTGGCTGCCCACCTGGCCGCCTCTGCACGCTGCCCAGCCCGCGGGGTCAGCAGCCCACCCTCTGCTGCGCTTCGGAGCCCAGGGATTGGCCAACAAAAGTCTGTTGTGCTGCTGGGCCCGCTTCCAGCCGAGCCCGCGCCCGCGCCCCGTCCGGCTCTGCCCGGGGCCCCGCCCCGCCCGGCCCGCCGCGAGCGCCTCCGCGGCCATGGCCCGGCGCCTGCAGCAGCTCCGGCACAGATGCCGCGGCGGAGCTGGCGGGTAGGAACTTGCCCGGGGGCGGGGGCCGGGGCCGCCACTGCCTCCCCTCCGCCCTCCCGGCGCTCGCTCTCCGGGCTCCCGGGGTCCGCGGGGCGGCCGCCCCAGCCCGCCTGGCGCAGCAGGAAGCCCGCGGGCCGTGGCTTCCCGGGCGCCGCGGCGGAGGAAGTCGGCGGTGGGGGGCCGCGGCGCCCGTGGCCCAGCCCGCGCCCCGCTCGGCGTCAGGTGGGCGGAAGGGCGGGCCGTGCGGGGTGGGCGGCGGGCACCGGAGCCGCACACGCCCGCGTCGCCGGGAGCAGCGCGCCCAGCCTGCCAGCCCGGGGCCGCGGGGCGTGCGCGACGCCGCGCGCGAAAGCGAAAGCTGCTGCCGGGCCTCGGCCCCGGCAACTTCGCGGCGGCCGGACTCCCGTGATGGTGAGCGACCCCGGCCGCGGCGCCTCCGCCGCGAGGAGCTGCGCGGGGCGGGGAGGCTGCCAGCCTTTGCGGTGCCCGGCCTCAGCCCGGGCGGCCAGTCTCTGCCCGATCCGTGGGGGAGTGGGGCCGGGGCCGCGGGCCGGGCCCAGGGTGGGGCCGCGGAGGAGTTGCATGCCGTCTCCCCGACGCACCGAGTAGTTTCCGCGGTTCCGGGAGGGGAGGGGGCCGCGCAGCTCGGGGACCGGCCTGCGCCTCTCCCGCGGCAGAAGGGGCTGGAACGGCGGCCGACTGCAGGCCAGTTGCGCTCCCGGCCGCCTGCGCGGGGTTACCTGTGGATGGCGGGGAATCCCTCGCCCTGGCGGGGAGGGCAATGGCGCCCCTGGCGGCCTCTGTTCGCCCTGCGGGGTTTGCAGGGAAACTGCAGGGCTTCCTGCCCCCAGGGGTGCTCAGCGCGCAGGCCCCTGGTCGCCCCAACCTCACGCCTGGAGCATTTGGGGCTCAGAGCTGTAGGGGGGCAGGGCCGTTAGCTCCTCGGACTTCTGGAAGGTGTGGGCCGCCCCGGGTCCCCAGCAGGAGGCGCCGCCGGCCTGCTCTCTGGGGGCGCAGGGTGGGCGGGAAGCGCCCGGGCGCAGGAGGCCGAGTGAGATCCGTGCCGGAGGGCCTGTGGGTACTGGTGGCCCGGCGCTCCTGGGCACCAGGGGGACTTGCTGTTTGGGGGGGTGCCTGTGCGTTTGTGGGTGACAGGTGTCTCCAAGCCCGGAGGACGATGGTATCCCCCTGCTGCTGCGCCCAACCTGCGGGCCTGCAGAGATCCCACCCTCTTCTGCTTGTCCTAGAAGCAACTCTCAGCTTCTCCCGGGACAGAGGGCTCGCTCGCCCTCAGGGCCCGCTGCCCCCGCAGCAGCTGGTCCTCAGAGCCGCCTGCTGCTCCGGCCTGGCTGCCAGCAGGCGCCCGCCCCGCTGTGGGAGGCTGAGTCACCGCCCGCCGTGCCAGGTGGGGCGCTGGAGGGATCCCCTCGGCTCTCCCGGTGCTCGCAGCGGCCTTCTCCGGACCGGGCTGTGGGCGCCCAGGGGCTGGGGAATCAGGCTCGTCTGTCACGGCACCTAAGACGGCCCAGGCCGGCCCTGCGGCCGCCCACCACCCTCACCCACCACCCTCGTGGCCCCCTCGGCTCCGTCCTGCGGAGAGAGGGTGAGAAGCCACGTGGAGAAGGCTGTTCAGCTGACTTTTATTTTTTAAATCAATCTCAGAGAGGAAGGTAGGAAAAAATCAATGATGAATCATTGATCGGCTGCCTCCTGCACGCCCCCTACTGGGGATCGAGCCTGCAGCTCAGGCAGCTGCCCTGATGGGAATGGAACTGTGTCCTGGTTCATAGTTGACAGACACTCAGCCACAGCCCCGCGGGCGGGCCAGCGGTACCCTTCACCATGGTAACTGCCTCCCCCGGCCCCTCCGCCTGGATGGCCCCCTTGTGTCTGTCCCTCTAATAGTGCCCCATTGAGGGCGTGGCTGACCACCCGCCGGGCCCGGGGCACCCGTGGCACCCGTGGCTCTCTGCGCTGCTGCCAGGCCCCTCCCTAGCCCAGCGGCCGGCACCTGGAGGAACGTGGATGGCCCCACCTGGAGAGGATGCGGGGGAGGCAGCTCCCTGTGCAGAGGTGCAGCCAGCCTGAGTCAGGGGTGTGTCCTGACCTGGCCCTCGCCCTCTTCGGGGACTGTCGGAAAGCCCCGCGGGAGGCTGGCTCCTGGCCGGGGACCCTGCCTGCACGGGGAGGCGGCTCAGACAGGCCCTCTGACCCCACTCGAGGGACCCCCGCACGGCCTCGGGGGCGGCCCCTCGCTGGGCCTCGGCTTCCACCTGTGCGGTGAGCAGGCTCAGCTGGCCCAGTGTGCGGGCCGGTGGGCAGCGCCCTGTGGCCGGGGGGGGGCGCAGGAAGGGGGGTACCCCAAAGGGCGAGGAGGCGAGCGGTGCTGTGTGAGGGGGGCCGTGCATCCAGAAGGCGTCTTAGACGCGCGCTGGCTCCTTCCGGGACCAGAAGGCAGCCCCCATCCCTGCGAGGCCGGCGTGGGGCTGTGCTCGGGTCCCGGGCCCACAGGGAGTTCTGTGGCTGCCGACCGGCTCACACCCCTCGGCGTCACTGCCAGTGCCTGGGAGCGAGAGCAGGTGCTGGGGACCCCCCTCCACAGGCCCTAACCGCCCCACCGGGAGCCGCCCTGCCCTCCGCCTGCCGCCCAGCAGTGCTGCCTCGCAGAGCCTTCGCACCCGTTTTCAGAGGGGAGAGCCGGCCAGCCCCGGTGGGTGTGGGTTGGCGACTTGCTGTTGGCTTTTCGGTGCAGAGAGGTGTCAGCGCCTGCTGCCCTGTCCCCGTGCAGGGCTGGGCGCGCCAACCCGCCCTGGAAATCTCCGCGAGGCCGGGGCCGCGGGAGCTGGCCTCCCTGAGCCTTGCTCAGGCTGCTCTTGTGCTGAGAGCCCCGCGGCGCAGACCGGCTGAGCGGGTGCCAGGAGCCCGTGGGCGGTCAGCAGGGAGGGAGCCGTGCTGTCCTTTCCCCTGGCCCTGGCCTGGCCGGGTGGATGGATTTGGGGCAGGAGTAGCAGGAAGAGGCTGGACGAGGCCTGGGCTGGAGCGGAGTTTAGGGGTTCCAGCGCCGTGTGAGGAGGGGCCCTGTCAGTGAGGAGCCACAGGTGGGGAGCTCCCAGTGTGCGGACCAGCTGGGCTCCCCCTTGCAGGTGTGGAGCCCCCCAGGGCACTGGCACTCTGTCTGAGGCCCCCACGACCCCGGCCTCTGCCAACCTCTCTGCCAGGTTGACCCCGAGTCCCTGGAGGCCGGCTCCAGACCTCCTCCCCGCCCCGCCCCGCCTCTCCCCTCCTCTGGCCGCTCGGGTGTGGTGGCAGGGGTGGCGTAGCAGGGGCCGAGAAGTCAGTGCCCTCACACCCACCCAGAGGCCATCTGGGGGCATACGGAGCCTTTTCCCCTCCCTCCTGGTCGCTCCCGAGGATGTGGCTCTGGTTGAGTGAGGCCTGGGCCCCGCCCGCTGCCCGCGGCACGTGCCTGTGGTGGCCGCCTGAGGCGGGGCAGTGCTGCCTGGGGCCGGGCCTTCCCGCGGGGCCGGGCGGGCAGCAGGGCGGGCGGCAGCCAGGACCGCCTGGGGCAGCCGCTCGCCATCCCGTCCCCTGAAGCCACACCTGCCGAGGGGGCTCCGCCGTGTGCGCGCCCCGGCCCGGGGGCCGCAGCCCTGGTGGGGGGGCCGCTGGGCCTTCTCTGGCACCGCCAGCTCCGCTGCCCCCGCCTGCCTGGGAGCCCCACCCCCATCCCTGTCCAGCGTGGAGTCCGCGGGGACTCCCCTGAGGGTTTAGGGTCCTCTTGCTCGAATGGCTCTGGGCAGGAGGTGCCTGGAGAGGTGGGTGCCCGCGGGAGTCAGCATCCGGGGACCAGGCCCCTGTGGAGGCGGCGGCACTGCTCACAGCCCTGGTCACTCCGGGCCGGGGTTTCGGGGCGGGGGGGCCCACAGGGCCTGTCTGGGGCTGGGCCGGCTGTCCTGGTCCCAGCCCGCGGCCCGCCCAGGTGTGTGCACCGCTCAGCCACTCATGGGGGGCGGGAGAGGTGAGGGGTGCCCCAGAGCCAGCCTGCCCCAGCCCAGCCTTCAGACGGGGGGGGGGGGGCCGCCAGGATGGACACGAGGCCGCGGAGGGAGGGGTCCTGGCCAGAGCAAACCGTGGACAAAGCGCATTAGCAGGAGGGAGCGTTCTAGGAGCCGCAGTCATTTCTGCTCAAACCCTGACTCCCCAGTGCTGCGGAGGGAGTGCTCGTGGGGGACGGGGTCCCGCGCCTGCAGCTGGCTGGCAGCACCTGCCAGACGCTCACCTCACGACTGTGACCTTTTGGCCTCGGTCCTCCCCCGGGATTGGGCTCCCTGCGAGCCTGCGCCCGTAAGGTGGTGACCAGTGGTGTCTGACCATTGTGCCCGGTGCTTCCGGAGGGGGAGCCCGGCGGCCTGGGGCCTTCCTGCCGCCTGGGCAGGTCCCCTGGCACCGCGGCAGCTCGGGTGCCGCCCTCCTCACCCCCGTTCGCCCCGCAGGGCATCTGGCGGATCCCCGTGGACGAGATCGACCGGCCGGGCAGCTTTGCCTGGCACATGAACCGCTCCATCGTGCTGCTGCTCAAGGTGCTGGCCCAGCTGCGGGACCACGGCACCCTGCTGCGCGTGTCCTCCATGCTGCAGCGCACGCCGGACCAGGGCAAGTGAGTGCCGCGCCACCGCCCCCACACCGCCCCGCGCCCGCCGCCGGGCGCCAGGAGGCCTCGGCAATCAGCGGCCCTCTGCCAGAAACCGGGCGGGGGCGGGGACCCAGGGAGCCGCGGCTCACCCGGCCCAGCCCCTCCTCGCCGTCTCCCTCAGCTGCCCTGGGCCAGGCGCTGGGCGGGGCCTCGGCGGGGCCTAGGGCGCACAGGTTCGTGGGGGAGAAGCAGAGCCGCGGCCACTGCCAGCCCAGGACTGGCTCCTGGAGAGCAGCCCGGGCAGATGGAGGGGCACCTGAGGGCTCTGGGCGGCCCTGAGGCTCCGCCGCCCTCTCTGTGCCCGTGTGCCCGCAGGAAGTACCTGCGAGATGCCGACCGCCAGGTCCTGGCGCAGCGGGCCTTCATCCTCACCGTGAAGGTGCTGGAGGACTCCCTGAGCGAGCTCGCGGAGGTACCGCCCGCCCCCTCCCTCCCCTCCCCTCCCCTCCCCTCCCGGGTCCTGGTCCCTCTGGGTTCCCCCGTGTCCACCTGTGAATGGCACCTCCCGCCCAGATCGGGGTTCCACCGCCGTCGTGCGCAGGCGGCAGCCATGTGGGCTTGTGGTCAGTGCGGGCGAGTGACGGGCCCGGTCCCAGCCCTGTGCCTGGCAGCAACAGCTGTAGCGACAGCATGGCGAGCGTGCGTCCCCTCACCCAGCTCCGCTGGCTTCCCGGCCCCGTCCCTGCCCGCCCCCCGAGGCCGCCCCCATCCGTGTGACAGCTGCGACCAGAAGCCCAGGGTGGCCGCTGGCTCAGCAGATGGGACCTGAGCAGAACAGTCCCCACAGCGCCCTGCCCAGGAGGACTGGCCAGGCTGGGGTGCAGGGCCAGGGCAGCCGCCAACCCTCCCCCCAGCCTTTGCACTGGGGGCGTGTGAGCCCAGGACAGGCCTGGCCGCCCCCACCCCGCCCCCAATCCGGTGCCCAGGGCCGCCCTGAGGCTCACACTGAGGGCAGGCTGGCCGGCACGGGCCTGTTGGCAGCCGGGCCTCCTCCCGCCCCGCTGCCCCTCCAGGCTGGGGGTCCGGCGGGAGGGCCTTCCTCGGGCAGGTCTCCTGGCCCCCGGCAGGTGGGCAGGCCTGGAGCCGGGAGGTTTTCGGTGGAGACACCCAGGCTGCCTGTCCCCTTCGGCTCTCTCTCTCACAGGGGTCAGAACACCCGGGGCCCAAGGCCTGCGGCCTCCCCGCGGCCAGGATGACCACCGACGTCCCCCACAAGGCCAGCCCCGAGGACGGCCAGGAGGGCCTGCCGCAGCCCAAAAAGCCGGCCCTGGCCGACGGCTCTGCGCCGGGGGCCGAGCCGGGGGGCCGGGCATGTCCCCTCGGCCACCGGCCGGCGGCGGATGCCGGGGCCGGAGCGGACCCGGGCAGGGAGCGCCAGGACAGGGAGCCCCGGGCGGGCCCCGCGGAGCCCATGGACACGGGCGAGGCCGCCGCCCGCCGCCTGGACTCGGAGCGGGCGCCGCCCCTGCCGCCGGGCCGCTGCCCCCGGGACCGGGCCCCGGAGAGCCGGCCGGCCGAGCTGTCCCTGGAGGAGCTGAGCATCAGCGCCCGGCAGCAGCCCGGCCCGCTCACGCCCACCGCGCCGGCCCCTGCCACGGCCGCCTCCGCCCCGAGGGCGGGGGGCCACGCCGAGGAGCTGCCGCCGCGGCCCAGCCGCAAGAGGAAGCTCCTGGAGGACGCCGAGTCGGGCAAGACGCTGCTGCTGGACGCCTACCGCGTGTGGCAGCAGGGCCAGAAGGGCGTGGCCTACGACCTGGGCCGCATCGAGAGGATCATGGCCGAGACCTACATGCTCATCAAGCAGGTGGGTGCGGGCTGGCCCGGCAGGAGCCGTCTGCCTCCCGGTGTCCTGCCCGAGCCGTCCGCCTCCCGGTGTCCCTGTCCGGAGCCCTCTCCCTCCCGGTGTCCCTGCCCGAGCCGTCCGCCTCCCGGTGTCCCTGTCCGGAGCCGTCTCCCTCCCGGTGTCCCTGTCCGGAGCCGTCTCCCTCCCGGTGTCCCTGTCCGGAGCCGTCCGCCTCCCGGTGTCCCTGTCCAGAGCCCTCTCCCTCCCGGTGTCCCTGTCCGGAGCCGTCTCCCTCCCGGTGTCCCTGTCCGGAGCCGTCTCCCTCCCGGTGTCCCTGTCCGGAGCCGTCTCCCTCCCGGTGTCCCTGTCCGGAGCCCTCTCCCTCCCGGTGTCCCTGTCCGGAGCCGTCCGCCTCCCGGTGTCCCTGTCCGGAGCCGTCCGCCTCCCGGTGTTTCTGTCCGGAGCCCTCTCCCTCCCGGTGTCCCTGTCCGGAGCCCTCTCCCTCCCGGTGTCCCTGTCCGGAGCCCTCTCCCTCCCGGTGTCCCTGTCCGGAGCCCTCTCCCTCCCGGTGTCCCTGTCCGGAGCCGTCTCCCTCCTGGTGTCCCTGTCCGGAGCCGTCTCCCTCCCGGTGTCCCTATCCGGAGCCCTCTCCCTCCCGGTGTCCCTGTCCGGAGCCGTCCGCCTCCCGGTGTCCCGGCCCGGCTGGTGTGTCAGTGTGGTCCCACCACCGCCGTCCGCTGTCCGAGGGTCCCGCTCCGAGAAACGGCAAGTGTGGCGAGGAGCCTGCCGTGTCCCACATGGTGCACTGGACCCGTCACCGCGCCAATGAGACGGGCAGAGGCCGGCCGTCCCCTTCAGCAAGGTGTGCGGTTCCGAAGGAGAAGCCACTTCACAGGACCCTCTCGGGTCCAGGGAGGGAGACCCCGAGGCCCCGGCGTGACGCTCAGGCCCTTCCTCCTGCTGAGAGCAGAGTCCTCCTCCCGGCGGGGCCTGCCTCTTTAAACGATGGTTAGGCACAGCTCGTCGTCTGCCTGCCGGATGGCTCCGCCGGTCAGAGAGTCCCCCGATGCCACGTTCAGGTTCAGTCCCGGTCAGGACGCACACAGAAAGCAGCCTTTGGCCTGGCCGGCATGACTCAGTGGGGAGGGTTGACTCTGCTCGTGCCAGGGTTGCAGGCTCGATCCCCACTAGGGGGCGTGCTGGAGGCAGCCGGTCCATGAGTCTCATTGTGGATGTTTCCCTCCTCCTCTCCCTTCCTCTGGGACGTCAGTTTGTACAAAAGGACGTGGTCACAGGCGTGAGCTTGGTGTGGCCAGAGGGCCAGAGCTTCGGTCCTGACGGCAGACCTGGGGCGGAGGTGCACCTGCCAGGTTCCGGGGGGCTGGCCGGCCTCTGACCTGGGGTGTCCCCTGCCAGGTGGACGAGGAGGCTGCGCTGGAGCAGGCTGTCAAGTTCTGTCAGGTGCAGCTGGGGGCTGCCGCCCAGAGACAGGTGAGGCCCCTGCGGTCAGCGCGGCCGAGGGGAGGTGAGCAGAGGGAGCTGACCTCAGGCCCGTGGGGAGCCCCTGACCACTGCCTGTGGGGGGCCATCGTACAGCCCAGACCCACCCGCAGTACGTGACCTCAGGTTCCCCCAGCGCCCTCGTCTGTACGCGAGGACAGGGCCCCGGGGCGGCCCCCCCACAGGGGCTGGGGGTGTCCAGCAGCAGCAGTGTCAGGAGGCAGCTGGGGCACTGGCCTGGCGAGGTGCCCCCAGCAGCATGAGGCTCACCAGGGCGTCCCCCCACTCAGTGCAGTGGGTCCAGGCGGGTCCGCTCCCCCTGGCACCCGGCCCCTTGTGGCTGTCCCCTCCCGAGCTGTGCCATCCCCCCCGGAGGGTGGGTGCTCAGTGGAAGAGGCTGTGGGTGAAGGCAGGCCCAGCGGGTGGAGAACCGAAGGCCTGTAGCCGGGCTGCGGGCACGGCCGGGCGGGGCGGCCTGGGTGCCGCAGCCTGGCCCGGGAGCTGCCCCAGGACTGGCCCCGGCACTGCGGCCCCCGTCTCCCGCATCGGACACTCAAGCCCGTGCCCGGGAGCCGCTCTGAGCCCCGCCGTGGCCTGGGCGGCCCCTCTGAGCGGCGAGCGGCCGGCGGCGTGGGGCCAGCGAGGCCGAGTGCGGGCTGTGGACGCCCAGCCTGCCTCCCTCACCTCCCTTTGCCTCCCAGGCCTCAGGGGACACACCCTCCACCCCAAAGCACCCCAAGGACAGTCGAGAGAACTTCTTCCCTGCAGCCGTGGCCCCCGCAGCCCCCGACCCCGTGCCAGCTGACCCTCTCCACCGGCCCAGCGACACCCACCCCAAGCCCCGGCCCGCGCTGCCTGCCGCCTCCGCCGCCTCCGCCTGCCCCCCCTCTGTGCCTGCCTCCACCCCAGACCCGTCCAGGGACCCTGGGCCCCCCCAGCCACACAGGCCCGAGGCCACCCCGCGCCCTGGTGAGTCAGTGCCTGCGGAGTGGGAGGGATGGGCCGGGCCCCTGCCACCTTTCGGCCACTCACCCCGTGGCGGGGCGCACCCTGCACCACCTCTGAACCCCACCCCATCTCCGTCTCCCCAACTGTGGAGTGGGGTGAGGAGGGCGGGACCGGGCAGGGCCCAGCTTCGGTTATGTCTTTATCTGGGGACGAACAGATAAAGGGATAAAGTCCCAGGCGGAGGTTTGGGGGTGGGGGTGACCTCACAGGCCTGCTGAGGGGGGCAGGGCGGGCTGAGGGCTCCTGCAGGAGGAGGCTGCTCTCCCTGCCCGGCTCTCCCCGCATGGGGCCCCAGGAGCTCCCGCGCGCTGTGTGCGGACAGTCTGCCCTGATTGCCGGGCAGCCATGAGGCAGGGCGTGCCAGGCCTGCAGCGGGGCAGCCTCTGTCCTGGGGACCTTAGGTCACAGGCCGGGCCGGGCTGGTCACGCCTGTCTGTGTCCACGCCTGTCTGTGTCCACGCCTGCCTGTGCCGGGCAGCAGAAGCGAGCGGTCATTCCTGCCAGGCAGGGCGGCCTCTCGCCTGCAGGAGGCGGGTGCTCCTAGCAGAGGGCCCTCCACGGGCAGAGCAGGAGGGGAAGGTGAGGGGAGACTGGCCAGTGTGGCCGGGGCCTCTGGGCCAAGAAGAAGAGGGGAGCAGGGTCGCACCCAGAACCTGGAGGGGCCGGGGGGGCAAGCAGACGGCTGGCCAGTGGCCCGGCTGCCGGCCACGGGCAGTCCTCGTCCCCAGCCCATCAGGTCCTTGGCTCCACCAAGGCCAGTCCCTGGCCCTGCCTCGTGCCAGGGAAGGTGTGGCCTGGTGGGCGGGATGGGCCCACATACCGCTCCGTCCTCTGGCCAGCAGTTCCAGCGACTCTTTCTGCCCGCCGCCTGCGACTGGGGGTGGGGCCCTGGCCTCGGTGTGGCCACCCCCGTGCCCGGGGCCCACGGTCCTGGTGCAGGGAGGGCCGGTGGTTTCCTGCCGGCACAGTCTGGCCTCACCGGCCATGGTCCCAGAGGAACCGCTGCTGGTCCGTGGGCTCCCCACTCACCCCCGGCAGGTCCCCTGGGGGTGTCCCAGGGCAGGGGGGCGGGCCTGGCCTCGGGCTGCTGGAGGCTGTAGCCACGGCCCCTGTGTGCCCACAGAGGGAGAAGAGCTGGCAGGAAGGGCAGAGGGTGCCGGCTTGCCGCCCCCGGAGCCGCAGTGCGCCGAACCGGTGAAGACGGCTCCCCAGGGCCCCCCAGCAGAGCCACACGGCTGGCCTGCCGCGGCCGCCCCCCGTCCCGGCGCCGAGCCCGCTGGCGGCCAGGGTAAGGCTTCGGAGAGCAGCCGGTGGGCTTCCCGGCAGCGGCTCCTCCCGCCCTCGGAAGGACTGAGGGCCTGGGGGGGACGGGAGCCCCGAGAGTCCCTCTTCACCCTCAGCTCCCCGGGAAGCGAGGGCAGGCACGCCCAGCTCTTAGGGGCGGAGGGGCCCTTACCAGCGGGACGGGAGGCGGGCACATGGGCGGGCGGGCAGGCAGCAGGTGGCCAGTGGCCCGGTCAGAGCCCATTATGTCCGCCGCCCCCCCAGCCAGGCCCGGGCAGCTCGGCCGAGCCTCCAGGCCTCCCGGAGGAGGGCCGGCCGCTGGCTGGGCGCTGCTCCTTATAAAGGCAGGGCTCAGGCTGGAGGCCCGCCAGGCCCCACCGCTCCCCCGGCCGTCCCGGAACCGCCGCTTCCGGCCGCTCAGCCCGGCGCCGTGTGCCGAGCGCGAGCACCCTGGGCTCTGGGTCCGAGCTGGGGAGACAGCCAGGCTCAGCCCGTGCCCGCCCCCAGCTGCCAGCTCCAGGGTGCCCAGCAGTGGGAGCACCCAGCCCCCCGAGGGCCACCTGGGCCTGGCGGAGCCCTGCCGGGCCAAGGCGCGGCCCCTGCCCATCATGCCGAAGCTGGTCATCCCCTCGGCCGCCACCAAGTTCCCCCCCGAGATCACCGTCACGCCGCCCACCCCCACCCTGCTCTCGCCCAAGGGCAGCGTCTCCGAGGAGACCAAGCAGAAGCTGAAGGTGACGGCGGGCGGGGGGGGGGGGGGCGCGGGGACGGGGGGCCGGCCGGCCGCTGACCCGTGCCCTGCCCGTCTGCAGTCGGCCATCCTGTCCGCCCAGTCGGCCGCCACCGTGCGGAAGGAGAGCCTGTGCCAGCCGGCGCTGGAGGTCCTGGAGACGTCCAGCCAGGAGTCCTCGCTGGACAGCGACACGGACGAGGACGACTACATGGACATCTGAGGGTCCCGCGCCCTGTGCACCCCCAGACCCCCCCCAGCCACCGGGGCGCCTCCCCCCAGGGGCTCCTCCCGCCCGCCCGCCCGGGTGGGGGGCTGTGCCCACCCAGTGGGCCCGCGGAGCCTGGCTCAGCCGCGAGGAAAGGGCGCCGTGGGAGCTGGCACCGCAGCGCCTTTCCTGTGGAATGCCGGCTCACCGCGCCCGCCCCCAGCAGCCCACCCGTGTCAGGTCCCCCACCCCCTTTTTTGGTTTCTTTTCTAATAAAGATGCAACTGTTCTTCCTGCCTCTGTCCACCTGGCCTCCCTTGGCCAGTGGCTGTCAGTCCTGGGTTCCACCCACGGCCTCTGCAGCCCCAGGAGCCCAGGGCGCCGGCTGGGGTGGGGAGGGGGGTAGCTGGCTGGGGCCGGGCAGGGCACATCCTTCCGATGAGGCGAGCCGGACCGGGAAGGACACGGGGGAGGGCTGGTCCCTCTGGTGTGGGGATGGGGAGGCAGGGCTCAGGCCGTGCTGAGGGGCTGGCTTGCACCCCAATGTGGTGGGGCTTAGGGGTTCAGGAAGGGCCCCCCACACGCCCTCTCACAGGACTGGCCACATGAGTGGTTGGTGCGCTGGCCCCAGTCAGGACACATGCCAACAACCGTGTCTCTCTCTCTCTCCCTCTTCCTAAAACAACCCATGACCCCGGCCCGTGTGGCTCAGTGGATAGAGCGTCAGCCTGCAGGCCCAGGTTCGATTCCCGGTCAGGGCACAGGCCCGGGTTGGGAGCTCCATCCCCAGCAGGGGCGTGCAGGAGGCAGCGGTCCATGGTTCTCTCTCCTCATTGCCGTTTCTCTCTCCCTCCCCCTTCTCTCGGAAACCAATAATAAACAAACAGGTAAACAAGAGCCGCAGCTCCAGTGCCGGCTAGAAGGAGGGCATGGTGCCGGCCTTTCTCCTGGTCCGCCGGCCGCCCGGCATCCCCCCACCGGCCTTCCCCAACCGGCCCCAGGAACTCCCGGGCCGAGGCCCCGCGCCCGCCCCCAGGCTGGGTGTCCGGCCTCAGCGTCCGCCCCGGCCCCCAGCCGTCTGCCTCGCCGGCGCTCCGGTCCCGCAGTTCCTATGGGAAGATTTCCCACGGCGCGAACGGGCCGGCGGAACCAGGCCGGGCTCGGCATACAGGGGGGCCCCGGCCGGGTGTTCGGGCTCTGTGGGAAAGTGGGGGAGGGGCCTGGGAGACAGGTTCGGGGTGAGTCTGGGACGAGCTGCCTATTGCTCTCCTGGCTGCAGGTCCCTGGGGACCTTAGAGGTTAGGAGGTGCCCGCGAGGGGGCGGAGAGGCTGAGGGGAAAGGCGTGGCCTTTTTTTTTTTTTTTTTTTTAAGGTGAATCCTCACCTAAGGGTATTTTTTCCAGATTTTCAGAGAGAGAGAGTGGGAAGGAGAAGTGAGAAGCCCGGATGTGACTGCCTCCCCGACCAGCCCTGACCGAGGCCGGAATGGAACGGTTAGCGGGGCGGTGCTCTAACCACTGAGCCCACCAGTCAGTGCTGGTTTGAGAGTCTGTCAGAGGCTGGGAGTGATGGGGCTGAGGAACAGAAGGTGTCTTGGCGTTCTAGCTGTGCACCTTCAGGGCCCTGGTCTCTGCCCACCGACCGGTCAGCACCAGGGCGGGAGTCACCGGCCGTTGCCACGGCCCTGGTTTGGCTGCTTCTCTGGGCCCGGAGGGAGCTGAACGAACCCAGATGTTATCTGCTGGGGGGAAAGGTCAAGGCCGTCTGTCTACACCCCGTGAGCAGCGATATGAAAGGCCAGGGGGTCTGTCTCTCTGCCTCTGTCCCCCCATTCCACTTGGCAAGGAATTTCCCCAGCTTCTCCCAACCCTGCCTCATGCATGCCCACAGGAGGTGCCCAGGCCCCCAGCGGCCCTGCTGGGCTGTGTGTTCCCACCCCCCATCCCCACCCCAGACTGGCATCCCTGGTGCCTGCAGGTGCCACCTCTCTGACACAACTCCGGCCTGCAAGCCTCTCAAGGGGCGGTGCCCGGGGAACAGGCTGGCAGACCCGGAGGCAGAGCCGGTGGCAGCCCAGGGTCTGAGCTCCTGCCCCCCACCCCCACCCCACCACCCCGGCCAGCTCCTGGCGAGAACCCGGTGGACTTCCCGCAACTGGATGGCACCCTGTAATTTAAAAGGTTTTAATAAATGTCACTCCGATATTCAAAACAGAGCAAGCGAGCACTTCATCGCCCGTAAAGGAACCAGTTCTACCTGCAGCAGCGACTCCTTGCTCAACACCAAGGAGCACAATCGGGCCAAGGACTGACCCACTGGGGACGAACAGAATGAAGCAAAATAAAAGCCTCGTTAGAGTGTGGATGGCAACTGTATCCTCTCTAAGGCTCTTTTTAAAAATATATATTTTTATTGATTTTTTATAGAGAAGAAGAGAGAGGGATAGAGAGCTAGAAACATCGATGAGAGAGAAACATCGACCAGCTGCCTCCTGCATACCCCCTACCGGGGATGTGCCCGCAACCAAGGTACATGCCCTTAACCGGAATCGAACCTGGGACCCTTCAGTCCTCAGACGGACGCTTTATCCACTGAGCCCAACCAGTTTCGGCTCTAAGGCTCTTAAGACTTCTAGATCCTAATCACCGTCGGTGATTAAACATGGAATCCCCTATCCTAAACAGGCGTCTGCTGTTAATAGGATTAAGACAAACTGGTGCAGGTTACTGGCACCGAGACCCTGGTCCCATGGTCCTCCCGCCGGACAGAGGTGGGAGCCGGGAAGATGGCTCTGGGGGAGGACCATCGGTCCGCACCCCAGCCCCGGGGATGGCCCTGCGCCTCCCAGGGCCCACCCTCCTCACCTGCACCGCCTGGAGGGCGGGCGACGCACGCGGGGGTTGTGCAAACTCAGCACCGGGAGGTGGGGCTGGGCGGCTTCTCTCCAGAATCCCGGCCCTTCCCTCCCCCATCACCACTTCCCTCTCCCCAATCACCACCTCCCCCTGATCACGATCGCAGCCCCGAAACTGGATGGAACCTGACAACCCCCACCCACCCACCCACCCATCTCCCTGCGGGAAAACAGGCCTCGGGGTGAGGCCCCGCTGGAGTGGAATCCCGGATCCCAAGGACAATCCAGTCCCCCCCCTCCCCCTTCTCCCCCTCCCCCCAGCTCCAGCCTTTCCGGAAGCCTCCGGCCGCTCTGCGGGCGCCGGGTCGGGATCCAGCTGTCAGAGCCCCAGCCTCCGGACGTCGGGATCCGGCTGCTCGGCCCCACCCGAGCCCCAGGCCGCGGGCCAGTGTAACGGCGCAGACCGCCCGCCGGGGTGCAGGCACCGCGGACTTTGAGAGGGACGCAGTGGGGGGGGGGGGGGGGGCAGGGCGGGTATTGGTGCAGGGCGTGGCGGGCGGGGAGGGCGGGAGGCGGGGCGGGGCGGGCGCTGGAACTCGGCCGCCTGCAGCCTCCCAGCCTCAGCACAGCCGCGCCGCCCGCTGCACCGCCCGCTGCACCATGCAGCCGCTCCTGCTGCCCTGGGCCCTGCTGCTCCTCGCGACGGCCCTCGGCCCCGGCCCCGGCCCCGGCCCCGTGGCAGGTACGTCCACCCGCCTTCCTGTCCCCGGTCTGCCCGTCCGTCTGGGGCAGGCGGTCCCAGAGCGGAGTCCCCTCGGGGCTCAGCCTCCCACCATCTGTCAGGCTGGCTGTGGGCAGGACCGGGGCCGTGGGGAGGAATTGCGGGTTCCAGAGTCAAGGGGCCGCCCGGCAGGGAGGGTGCCCACCCTCTGCCTGTGGAGAGCCGGGAGGCATGGCTGGCCGGGAGGGGAGTCGCTAGGCAGGTGGCAGGCTCAGAAGAGCCCTGGGCCTGAACCCCAGCCCTGATTGGGGGGTGGGGGGGTGCTTGACCACGAGGGAGCTCCCTTTAGTCTCACTTCCCCCCCTTCCTGGCCAGAGGCAGGATGTGGGTCCTTGTCAGGGTGGAGCCCGACTCCCCCCAAAAAGAGTGGAAGAACCACACTGCAGAGCCAGGACCCTGCCCCCCGCCCTCCCGCCCTCCCGCCCGCCTGCCCCTGCCTTCTGGGCGAGGCTAGAGGTCACCGGCCTCCAGACCAGACCGCCCGGGCCTCCCTGCCTCCCCAGCGGAGAAGAGCCACCACCCTCCTGCCACCTACCTGCAGCATCACTCACCACCCGCCCCACCCCCGGGAGCCTCAGGTCATCCTCAGCCAATAAATATTTATGGGCCTCTGGGTGGAGGCCCGGCCTCTGGACTGCCCCCTTGAGGGGCTGACCCCAGCCTCAGCGCCTCCACCAGGGGGTGCAGACAGGCCCCTGGGGCCCCTGAGGGTGCATCAGCCGAGGGGGCCTCCTGGAGCCTGCAGCTCAGCCTGTGCCCTGACAGAATCGAACCCGGGACCCTTCCGTCTGCAGGCGGAGGCTCTGTCCCCTGTCCTCCTGTCCCCGGTCTGTTCGTCTGTCTGTGGCAGCTGGCCCCCGAGCCGATGCCAAACCTGCTGGGGCTGGGCTCCTTCCGGTGCCACAGGGCTGTGCCTCTGGGGGCACTGCCCTTCCCCCCTCGTTCTAGCCCGTCTCTCAGTGAACTCCCGATTTCTCCCCACGGCCCCCAGTCCTGCCCATAGGAGAGTCCCCCGGCCCCAGGCCGTGTGGGCGTCCGCCGTCCACACACAGCCCCGTCCGCGCCGGCCGCCGGGCGTGCCCCTCGCTCAGGGTCACCCGGAAACACACGGGCCCTACAGGAATTGGGGGGGGCAGGGGCTCTGCCTGGGACAGCTGCTCAGGGCCCCCCCTCCTGTCCCCAGGCGCCCAGGGGACCTGCTCCGGCCGCTGCGGGCAGCGGGACGGCCTGTGCTCCTGCCACCCCACCTGCGCCGGCCTGGGCACCTGCTGCTCGGACCTGCGGGACTTCTGCCTGGAGATCCAGCCCTACTCCGGCTCCATGATGGGCGGCAAGGACTTCCTGGTGCAGCACCTGCACTGGCCCAGGCCCTCGGACCCGGTCATCTGCAGGTGGGAGCGCCAGGGGCCCCTTCAGTCCCACTCCCCCCGCGCCCCTTCCCGGCCAGAGGCGGCAGGACGGGTCCTCGTCAGGCCCAGCC